GACATGCTTGATGTAAAAGTATTACTTTAGCAATCTTACAAACCAAATTATTACATTGTTTTCAAACCGACAAACAACATTAATCTGCGGACACGTAAACAAATATAAAAAATACATCTTGCACAGAAAGTCGATAAAAACGTGGACGGAACTCACTAATGACAGGTCTACTGAAGGACGTTTGTGGACACGGGAATTATCCCTTCGGGTTCACAAAACAAGTACTGTTTTAATGGAATCCTTTGTAATTTGTTAATTGGAAGGGAAGTTACGATGTCTATAATCTGTTCGTGTATAATCAGCCTAGACCATCACCCGGTCATGGGTCGAAAGAGTATCTCTCGAATACGACGTACGAGTGAAACACATTAAGTTATGAGACCAGGTATTGTCGAATTTGACCAAAAAATTGATATAGTAGAAGCCAACTACAATCTTTCTAGGTCTATTAAGCGCATAATGTTGGTACCCTCGCATCAGTTTTAATTGCAGTTGACGGTGACGAGATATTTTTTCAAAGCCAATTGAGGCTTTTTAAATAGGAAAGGTCACGGGGGTCACGTTTGAGCACTGTTTTTGAAAGAGAGAGTAAGGAATGGAAGACGGCGGGCAAAATTAACGTTTGTAAAAAGTAAAGAGTTTGGGTTTCAAGAACTGAGGTTCAGGCACTGCGCCTCGAAAGTTCAACTGCTAGATGAACATCGGATATGTGCGCTGAGAGACGAGTTTTATTAAGAGTTTATCTTATAAAATCGTGTACAATGTTTTACAAGCACGTGCATCGATATCCACATTAGTGAAAGTAAACGATTTACGTCGAGATGATGTTAACACTTCTGATTCGTGTTCATAATTTCCCCCGAGTTCAATTATCGAGCCAGAAACAGGATATTTCGAGGAAGATTCATATTTTAAAACACAACTACGATCATATATAGATTTTATAATTATGTATTGTACTTACTTTCTAGGTTTACGTATTATCCAGACACATATCAGCGTCGTCATATTGATAAACAAAACGAATAAATAAATAAATAAATAAAAACATTTGTTATCGCTCATCGCGTATACAACCTACAACATTGTGAGTACAGATAGACATCCTTCTAAATTCTCCAGTATAAAAATACATAAATTACTTCGTGTAAAATTATTTCTACTGCTAGTGTACCAAATAAGTATAATACGCGTTTTTTCGATGTTTATGGATAGAGAAAATTCTCCACTTACATTATATATATATATATATATCCACATGCAACATAAAATGTCTGACCTAAAACACCGGCATCCTCGGTGGTAATAGATAATTAATAGAGTAATTGCTTATTTGACGTTAATGACCTAAATGGGCCCCTTTTCAAATCCTGTAAAATTTCTATATAGCAGTTGTTCTCAACCTTTTCGCTGACGTACCACTAATTCTAACTTGTCACATTCAATGTACCACTAACCAAATGCGTTCATCGAAAAACTTATTTATGTTAATATAACTTTTGATTTTCTTACTTAGTTCGCGTGCCACCAGTGGTACCCGTACCATAGGTTGAGAAACGCTGTTATAGAACATACATCGTCTGTCCTAAAGCACTCTTGTGTATAAAAGTCTACACGCCTTTAGTGACAGCAAGCAAATGACTAATTTTCGTTTTAAGCCTTCGCTTATGAATTATCTTCGATGTCCTACCAACTTCTTTTCTTAGGATGTACAGCTCATACCGAACAAAAAAAATTGATAATCAGTGTCCAACACTGCCGCAGTTATTTTGGTGAAAACGTCAATCGTGTATAGTATATTGAAATTAAACAATTTTTTTTTGAATCGTTTAATTTATTTGCAACTTACATTTATTGAATACAGGGTAGTG